AACGATACACTCACGATACGTCTTCCCTAAAACAAAAAAAAACCCTTTTCTTCTTCTTCTTCTTCCATCGTCGTCGTCTATCTCTCTCTCTCTCTTTTCTCCCTTTTCCCTCCGGTAATTTTCCGACAGTCCTCCTAGTCGTTGTCGTCGTCGAGTACCGAATATTTAAAATATTTCATTGAATTTTTCCTTTTTTTTTTTTTTTTGCTGTTGTTGTTGTTGTTTCGAAAAAAGTTTTTCACCCGTAAGATAATCATGTACGAAAATGTACATATATATATATATATTCCTCAAAAGGTTTTCCCAAACAGTTTCATGCATGGTTAACCAACGTTGACGATTAATAATTTTACCCGGTTTAAATGTTTTACACAAATTAAATTATTATTATTATCATTATCATTATCATTATCATCATTATTATTTTTTTTCCCAACAAATTTCATTTATTTTTATTTAAATTACTGAAAAGTCACTTCCTTTTTTTTGAAAAAAAAAAAAAAAAAGAGAAAGGGAGAGAAAACACAACAGAAACCCCCCCCCCAAAAAAAAAAAAAACTCACGAGTTCGAACCTTCAGAAAACAATAATAATAATAATAATAATAATAATTGTGTTCAGTTACAATCGTGAAAATTGGCAACGATTTTTACCTTTGACCCTTGAATGAAAAAAAAAAAAAATCCATCAGGTACGACGTGTGTGTACGCGTGTAAAAATAATAACAATAATAATAATTTTTTCTTGCCTCTCTAAAATTTAATAAATTTTATTACGACTTCCGGTTTACGTATACACATTCACTCACACATAAAAGAGAGAGATAGAGAGAGAGAGAGAGAGGGGGGAGACAGAGAGGAGAGAGTAAAAAAAAAAAAAATTAATTTTCATCAAGTTTCAAACTTTCTTTATAAAATCAAAAAAATATGTTTTGTTATTTACGATTCAATTACCACAATAACATCATCATCCTAATAACGATCTCGTTGTTGCTGTTGCTGTCGCTGTTGTTGTTGTTGTTGTTGCTGTCCTCCGTTTAATCTCTGAATAAATGTGACAACATTAAATTTCTATCGCTTTTTTTTTTGTCGTCGTTGTCGTCGTGATCTCCCTTTCACCCCTCCCCTCCCCTCACTCTCTTTCAACCGCACTTTGACATTTCCATAAACATTATAAGACCGTCGACATAAACATTATAAAGAATTATGTATTATTATTAAAAAAAAACTAGAAATAAAAAAGGTGACTTTCCCCCCTCTCTCTCTCTTTCTCTCTCTCACCCTACCACGCCCTTTAACCTTTTTTTTTTAATCGAGGAAGAGTCTCAGATTATGTCACACCTGTACGTAATGAGCCTGAAACCGTGATTAAATTTAACTTTAAAAACTCTATGGAAAAAGTTGACGTACAAAATCTTAAATCTTTTCCATAACGGCCGACACGAAATTATTATTACTATTATTATTATTATGTCGTTGACGATGCCGACGAAGAAGAAAAAGACGGTGACGTCACGACGATTTTTCCCAACGGAAATTTTTTCATTTTCGAATTGGAAAACTTTGAAAAATTTTTGTTATTGATGTATGAAATACTTTCGATTGATGAATTATTTAATATTAATTTACATCGAGATATCGAAACTCTAACTCTCTGTCTCTCTCTCTCTCTCTCCTTTCGATCCCTCGAATCATAAATACGTAATGATGACGTCGCGCATCGGTGAAATGGAATACGTTTATTCTATTTCCTCCCCCTCCCTCCCCTTCCCACACCAACCTTTCCCCGAACGTTTTTCCAAGTTTCCTTACTTTCAACCTCTCTTTCTCTCTCTTTCCCTCCCTCCCCCGGTAAATTTCTTCCTTAGTTTTTTTTCTCTCACTTCCTTTCCCCTCCCCCTCCCTCCCCCTTCTCTCTCTCTCTCTCGCTCCGAAATAAAATAAATTATGTCATTAAAATAATATGAAAGCAAATCATAACTAATGCTTTTATTTTTAATCTCTCCGCCATTTTTGGTATTTTAAATAAATACGTAAGCTTTTTTCCGGTTTTTTTTTCCGTTTCCCCCCTCTCCCATTCTTCGTTTGTTCCCCTCCTCTCCCCCTCGGGGGAAAACGATTATTTTTGGTTTTTCCTAATTTTTATTTTTATTTTTTTGTTTTTTCTTTTTATTTTGAAAAAAGAAAGAAG